TATTTTGGATCACATGAAACTCCTAGAATGCCATGAGCTGACTTATGTCCGAATTAAATATCATCAGCTAATAAAGTTTACTAGTATCTGCATACTTTTATTGTGGCAAGAAATAAGGAAGGTACATATTACTAGGGCTGGATCATCTTCACAAGATTGGCATGCAGTTATTCAGACTAGCAAAACACAATACTCTCAGACCACAATACTCTCAGACACCCGGTACATGACAGTTTAGCATCACCGAGGAATCCATGAATATTCCCAAACTACAAACTGACTTGACAAATTTAGCGCAGAATTACAGCAACCAGAGAGGTCTGTATTGCTGTTAGAAACTCATCAAGCTATGCCTGCATTAGAAAAACCTTACTGGTATAAAAACTGTCAGCATATTTTTCCAGCAAGCATTTTGTTTGTTTGCAGCTATGGAGACAAAACTGTACTTTGAACTATTAAAGTAAAATTACCAATCATGAGCAACCCCCCATAACAATAAAAGCTGGTATAGCTATGTCTACACTGGGAGCTTCTGCCAGCACAGCTGCCAGTCAGTAACTGTGCTAGCAGAAGTGCCTAGTGTAGCCATCTTAAGCATTTTCTTCTGCCAGCCACCATTACTTCTGCTATGCTTGGATTTAACATCAAGTAATACATAAACATGGTAAAATTAATGTTACTGTATACTTTGAAGGACAGTCAGGCTGTATCTCATACCAACTCCATGACCAACTTAGACATTTTTATTACCAAACTTAGATAAATTTACAGGATATAAGAAAACTTATTTGGAGGTTTCTGGTCCCAGTTTTGTTTGCAAAGAGAAATATAGTTTTAATGCAATGGACAAAGAACATTTCCCCTTAATTATGGTCTGGATTTTATTACTAATAAGGTGGTAGAGTTTAAAGAAACTATATCTGTACACAACAATATAGTTAATGGCTTTTTTATTAACACATGACAAACCTTTTTGTACTGCTTGCCAGGAGAGATTCATACTTTTTTGTTAAATATGATACTGGGAGTGGGGAGCAGAAATGTATGAGGTATAAATACAAGTTTTGGTTATCTGCCCAGGCCCCCTCGATATTTATAGTATGTTTATTTAATTTCATGTATACAATTTTTAAGTCTGTATAGATTTTACTAGGTAGATAGGCTATATATTTTACTCGTCCAAGTTTTTTTTCAAGGGTAAAGACCTATAAGATTCTATTTTCCCCTCAACTCCAACTTTATTAATTATTGTAAGCTGTCCCAGAATATTCTGGAAAAACAAGTACTTTGGCCCATCCTCTCTAGATATCAGGATCTACATTTTATGGTGACTGATCAGCTATAAATAAGAAAGGTAGAAATTAGATAATATCATTACTTTACAGTTTAATTTTTTGTAAAATACAGATCACTAGCAATAACACCAATAAAATCATTAAAATTAGAAACCTGTTAGATATCCAACCAACTCTTTAGTAGAATTTTCAAATTGTCAATTGAATCAGAACTTAATGGTCTATATTTGACAGAACAAATGATAAAGACTCTCAGTTAGGGAATGCCAAGCTTCTTATTTTCATTTCAGCAGCTGTAGTTTACACAAACTTGCCCTAGATTTATACATCACATAAACTGTTTTTACACAATTCTAACATCCCTTTACAATAATTCAAAGAGAGCTTTTGAAAGGGATAAAGAAATGAAGAAAGAATTATCCTCTTGATAAGATTTAACAAAACCCAAAAAGTAGTTTGGATTTGATTTACTCAATGTAAAGACCTACCAATTTTGTATAAAGAAAAAAAGGACAAAAATTATGCTTGTGCATTTTGTTTATGGATAGAGATAAATAAGCCAAGATAAGGGGTGGAAACCCTTTCCCTTCTTGCTTAAGAGGAAAGGACCGTATATATATAGCTGCTGGTCTGGCGCCATGAAAGATGCAAAGGGTTTCCAACTTATTAACGTTTATTTAAAAGCTTGAGAAGTTGCCAAATTGTTTAGTGGAATTCATGACAGTAGGATATCAGAGAAAAATGAATATAAGCATGTTGACAGCAACTGCATCCAATAGCTGCTCCCAGGGGAAAAGAGGATTGAAAGGGGCCTCCCAAAACACTGTATTTAGCCCTTGAAATCACAGGCAACCATTTATCCAAAGCAAGTACATAAGAACATCTACTCTAGCCCCTTGTGCACACCAGAGCCATAAAGCCTATTAAAATCTCTAAAATGTGCCACAGATAAAGATTATGGAAGATGAGACAATGCTTTGACAATGCAGTAGCAAGAAATCAATTAGATTAAAATATACTCCAATAATCCTAGGAAGAGATCTGTGTCCCATGCAACACTGGAAGGGGAATAAAAACCATCAAAAGGCCCCTGGGAACCTGACATTGGGAAAAAAATTCCTTCCTGACCACAAATCTGGTGATCATTTAGCCTTGAACATATGATCCAAACCCAGCATATAGGAAAACTAAGAGTATCAGGAAGAACACCAGCCCACTACAACCACACTCCCACTTTTAACTGTGCACACTATTCAGTGCTTTAAGGAGAGTAAGACAGAGAAACTCTGACTTTTTAAAAATGTTATTACACAAATATTAAAGCAAATAGTGAAAGTGAAAAGGTGTGTGGCCCTCCCAGGGACCAAGCATGAAACACTTGACAGTGACAAAAAAACACCATGTCACCCAAAACTGCAACCCCTTTCCCCATGCTCCTCAATCACACGGTACTATTCTTGAATTGACAGATCCCTTGAAGACGTTATAGGAGTGATCCAGGGCTTGCTATTTCATATACCAGTTCTTCTGATTCTGTTAGACTGGAGGTCATCTACCCTCATCCCCCATTTCTGTCACAATAAGCTTTGTTTCCAGCTCAGCTGTGGACATTTCCATTATTTTTCCTTCATTTGTATGGGTACCTTACCATTATCCTTATTTACATTTTTATCATTATTGAAGACTAAGGTATTCATTTGATACTTCATGTGGCGGCGAAGTGCCCCCACAGGCTCTCGAGGGAGAGAAAGGAGGACCCGCAGACCCCAGACCCCGAGAGCAAGCCCCCAGAGGGGCGTACGTACCTGCTGAAGAGCAGCGGGAGCAGGAGCCGCATGAACCACCATTACGCCGGTTGTGGCAACAGCTGTTCCCGGCGTGGGGAACAGCTGAGCCTATCCCAGCGGCCTTAGCAGCTGCGGGAAAATTTAAAAATGCCAGCAGAACAGGAAAAGAGGGGAAGCCGGAGAAAGAGAGTACGAGCAGGCTGCTCATGCTGCGAGCTCAGGCACAGCGAGGAGAGGACCCAGCCTGCGGGTCCCAAGCAGGCAGCTTAGCTAAGAGCTGTAAGCCTTCTACGGGAGGCAGAGCAGCAGGCAGACAGAGAGTGCAAGCCGAGGCACTCTCTCAGCCTCCTGGGGCGGCTGGCGCCCGGGAGGGAGGGGGGCAACCCGCTGTTGGTAGGAGAAGGGAGACAGCGGAGACTCCAAGAGGGAGCTGGAATCAGGGGAAGCACCCTGCAGCTCCCCATAACTCGGAGGAGTATTTCCTATAAAAGAAGAGAAAGGAGAAATCACTCCCAGAAGGGAGGGAGAACGACCGGGAACTGGGAAACCGGTCTGAGGCCGTCATACGAGGCCTGGAAACATCTGGGACGCATCACCCAGCGGTTGGCGCGTGGACGGGGTGTAGGGGAGGCGGAGCTCCGTGGACCACCGCGTCAGACGACCGTGAGTAACACCGTCTATTGGGAGGCCCCACCCAGGATAAAGATCTCCACTGTAGACCCCTCTTAAAGTATATATTTACATCCAAGTCGTGGCAGACGAGTTGAGGGGAGGGGCAACACCCCGATAGACCAGGCAGAGTGGGGTGCAGGCGCCACACTTCAGTACTTCAGCCATACTTAGATGATCCTTAATCTCCCCATTTTCAAAGTCTACTGGCTCTGCTTCTGTTATCATGACCCTCTTTTTGTTTATATGAAGGAAGAACCTTTTGCTATCTATTCTCATTTTGGGGGGAAAAAGAACTCAAGTCAACTAAGCCTTTGTCCATTCTCACTTGCTTTCAACACTTTTGGAACTCTTTTTGTACATTTTGTAGATTATCTCCTTATTCTTACTATCCTATTTAAGGTGACTGTTATCCAAGTAGGACTGCATCTGGGGTTAGCAATGTTTTTGGGCAGAGTGCCAAAAACATCTGCAACCTCAACTTCTAAGATGCTAGTATGCCAGGGGCAGATGGTGGGGGAGCCGCCAGGAGCCCAATCTGTGTTGTGGCAGTGTAGTCCTTGCCCTGCCAAGCTGTCCACTGCCTGGTGAGTGTGCCAAGCAAACTGCCTTCGCATGCCGCACTCTGGCACTTATGCTGGGGGCTGTCAACTCTGATGTGCATTATTTCCTTCCCTGCAAGTTTTATTTGCATTGTTCTTATGGTCATATCTTATTGTTCTTATGGTCATATCTCCAAAGGTTCTCTTCAACATCTGAAGTTCTCCTCATCTTTGTCCAGCAGGTGTTTGTAGGTGAAGCTTCACCTCTCCTTGCTGCATTTCTTGCCCTTCTCTGCATGAGCTCATCACAAAGCTTGAGAGAGTCCACAGAAGAGCCACGCGCATGATCAGAGGTCAGGGAAGCAGACCCTACGATGACAGGCTGAGAGCCCTGGGGCTCTTTAGCCTGGAAAAGCGCAGGCTCAGGGGTGATCTGATGGCCACCTATAAGTTTATCAGGGGTGACCACCAGTATCTCGGGGAACGTTTGTTCACCAGAGCGCCCCAAGGGATGACGACTAGGTCAAATGGTCATAAACTACTACAAGACCGTTTCAGG